CCCCTCTCACGTGTTCTCTCTCTCATTCTCTCTCTCAAATAAATAAATGAAAATCTTAAAAATAAAATAAAATAAAATAAAATAAAAAACTTGACGAAAAACAACTTGTAAGAGAGCCAGACAGCACATCTTTCCGCACAGCCTGCACATGCCAAGCCAAAATAAACAAATTGTCCTTCTTCCCTAATTCGGGGTATCTATTCTAAACTAATAGGAAGTAGGCAGGTGTGGCTAAGGCAGGCAGGCCACTGTGGCCTGCACACGTCTGCTGCCCCTACCTGTCGCTGCTGAATTGCAACCCTTTGTATTACAACTTAAATTTTTCACATCATTTTCTAAGTCTAAGATTTGATCTCTGTGCCTGAATTGTCTTCTCTTACAGAGAATAAAATGGTTGATTTGAATGTGGTGATGGATGACGCAAAAGCTTTTACAGGTAAGAAGTTGTGGTAAACACGGAATTCATTATTAACTGAGACCTTAATGCTTTATAGAAAAAAAAAAGATGTTGTTAAATAGTAGTTTTCTCTTCAGGCTATTACTGACATGCTAAGTTGTACCCCTACACATTTAATGGTTAAATGTTTGTTTTATAATCTTACTGTTTAATTTGGTATTTTTCCTGTATAGACCTATATTATGTGGAGTTTGGGCCAATAATGTTTTCTACTTCACCACTGTTTAAACAACCAAACTATAGGTGAACTCTATTCAATCTCAAGGTGAAGCTTTTGTAGGACAGCCAGGAAATATGGTCATTGTGTCAAAAGACCCCATAATTCAGGAAATATATTGGTATTTGACTTATATCTGGGATTATATATGCTTTTCTTTTGCTTGAATTAAAAGTATAAATTCTATTTCTGACATGATCTATATACACCCACATGTACTCAGAATCTATATAGGTTAACAAGTTTCATTGTCAATTTGCACTTCTAATTAAGCCTATTCCACTTAGGTTATCTTTTTCACCATTTGAAATCCTTCATCCATTTCTAAAATTCTTATATGTTAACAATTTCCATCTTTCCAAAGGAGAGAAAGTTAATGTCAATAATCTGAGCAATGTGATGAGGAAAATGGGGCTAGTACTCACTGATGAGGAGAAGCAGCAGCTGCTAAAAACTCTACCCATTCATGGTGAGTATTAAGCACATCTTTGAAACCCGGATTTATGGGCTTGTGTGTGAAAACTGCTGAAATTATATATGTGTATGTCCAGTAAAACCCATTTAGAAAGCACAGTTTCACAAAAGAAGAAATTCTGTTCTTATCACTTACATTTTAATATTGAAAATTGGTAACATCTTTCACTGGTCCCCATCATCAAGGCTAAATTATCCTGTCGCCCTGGAGCATCGCCTCACCTAAGTCATGACCAAGGGAAAAAGAAAAACCAGGAGAGTAAGAGTAGGAAGGAAAAGGGGAGAAATAGGGAGATAAAGAATTTTTAATTCAATAACAGGTAGGTTTATATCAGTGAAAGCTTTCTTTATCTTTGGTTTCATTCTTACTTGAGGGTAAAATAAAATAAAATCCTAAACAAATCTGAAGGGTTTTTTTCCCCCTGAAATTATGGATGTTGTATTGTCTTTGTGCTGTCTTTGTTAATCTTTCCTTCATTAACCTCTGTTCTTAATTGTGCTTGTCTTACAGCTGATGGAAAAGTATATAAAAATAGATTGCTAAAAGGTGTGAAGGCCCTCAGTGGTGAGTGAGAAACACAGTGAAAGAGCAAATAAAAATAAAATCCTCATGTTTACCGTTTGCTTTGAAATGTTCCAACTTTGCTTCTTGCCAATTTTTTTTTTTTAAGATTTTATTTATTTAGAAAGCGAGCATGTGTGTCTGCGTGAGTGGGAGGAGGGGCAGAGGGAGAGGGAAAGAGAATCTCAAGCCGACTCTGCTGAGCACAGAGCCTGATGCAGGGATCAATCTCACGATTTGGAGATCATGACCTGAGCCGAAATCAAGAGTCAGATGCTTAACCAACTGAGCCACCCAGGTGCCCCTGCTTCTTGCCAATTTTTTGATCCATTGTTATGGACTCAACTTACCATTTTTCTTTGGGTATGTTGACATTTTGGGATATAAGGAAAGTATCATCTTACTGTAAGAAGTTCTAACACTGTTTTCTAGTAAACACCCAGAACTGTACAGACTGGTTGTTGTTTCAACCACAGGTAGATGTGCCAATTCTCCCTGTTCGCCTCTCATGGAAAACTGAAGGGTGTCTGGGTGGCTCAACTGGTTGAGCGTTTGCCTTCAGCTCAGGTCATGATCCCAGGGTCCTGGGTTCAAGCCCCGCATCAGGCTCCCTGCTCAGCGGGGAGCCTGTTCTCCCTCTCCCTCTGCCTGCAGCTCCCCTTGCTTGTGCTCTCTCTTCTTCTTTTCTCTTTCTCTGTCAAATAAATAAATAAAATCTTAAAAAAAAAAAACTGAAGCAAAGTGCCCTGGATGGGTATTAAGGAAAATATCCTATCTCTACTCCTTATACTAATTCTGTTGTAAACAATTATATTTTTTATTTTTAATTGGAAAAATATTTTTAAAACAGCAACTACTACAAGAAAACTATCCAATTCTACCACTTGGAAAACTGATAAAAGAAGTGTAAGTCAAGTCATGGGGATCTAATGTAAAGCATGGTGACTATGGTTAATGATACCGTGTTGTATATTTGAAAGTATAAGAGAGTAGATTTTAAAAGTTTTCACCACAAGAAGAAAAAACTTGTAACTTTGTGTGGTGATGGATGTTAACAAGAATTATTGTGGTGATCACATTATAATATATACAAATACTAAGGGGCGCCTGGGTGGCTCAGTTGGTTAAGCGACTGCCTTCGGCTCAGGTCATGATCCCGGAGTCCCCGGATCGAGTCCCGCGTTGGACTCCCTGCTCGGCGGGGAGTCTGCTTTGTCCTCTGACCCTATCCCCTCTCACGTGTTCTCTCTCTCATTCTCTCTCTGTCAAATAAATAAATAAAATCTTTAAAAAATATATATATATATACAAATACTAAATCATTATGTTGTACATATAAAACTGACATGATATTTATATGTCAATTATATCTCAATTTTTTTAAAAGTGAGAGTCCCCCTACCTCCCACCAATCTCATACCTCCCCATAAAGGTAAATACTGTTTACTGTTTACCTTTTTCTCAATGGTTATCTTTCTCAATTTTTTCCTACTTTCAACAAACATATCTAAATTTGGGAGATAAATATATTAATAGTTTCTTTGTGCCCTTGTGGTTTACCCTCTAGTTGGGATTTATGATGCATGACCATGATTAGCATTTTTCACCCTTAAGCACCAATATTCATGTTCTTATTCCATGCCCTTCTTTCCTAAGGACCAAGGGTCAAACTCAGAAAAGTGAAATCTGTAATGGAAAACATGGGGATTAAACTCAAGGATGAGGAACTTGAGGAACTAATGTCCCAACTGTCAACTGATGGTGAGTGTTACGGGCATCATTTTGCTCTTCAAAGAAATAGTGAACACTTCTATCAGGACTGCTGAAAGTAGCCTGCCTTTGTAGTATTTAATGAAGTAAATGTAAATAGAAGAACTTAATCCTGACTTATTAGGAAATACTATCTCCAAAAATGCTTTTTAAAATATCTGTTAGGGATACTACTTGCAAAACTCAGCCATGCCTGGGAATGCCACACATATAAGTCGCTGAAAGAAAAGTGACATTTTTTTTACCTCATGTATAAAGGAACTTGTTCATAAGAGAACATTTAAGAGAAAAATTAACAAAGTCAGAAATCAAATGATGAATTAGGAGAAAATGGTTGTAAGGCAAAGAGCTAGTACCCCAAAGGTAGAAAAAGCCTTCACACATTGATAAAAAAAAAAACATACTGAGAGTAGAAAAATAGGCAAATATACAAATAGATAATTCATGAAAGAGGAACGTAAATGCCCAGTAACATGTGAAAAGATGTCTAACCTCATCAATAATCATGAAAATATAAATAAAACAAAATATACAGTATTATTTTCACTCATTGGACAGGCAAAAATTAGCAAGACTGATAACGTCTACTTCTGGTGAGGGTATGAGGAAAGGGACTCCCTGACATATTTCAGGTGAGAGTTACCACTGCTATATATCTTCTTGGAAAAGTCATTTGGCATTATCAATGGGGGAAAAAAATTCCCTTTTCCCTGGTGAATCCAGGCTACATGCCTCATCTATTGTATTAGCATTTCTTTGTACTGAGGCCTCGTCTTTGTTCTGCCACTAAATTGCTGGCAAATAATTTAACCCTACCAAATGTTAGTTAGTGTCTTCGTATGTTAAATGGGAAGCTGAACTAAATGATTCTCTATGGTCACTTCTTGCTCTGAAATCAATATAGATAATACATGTTAAGTACTTGAGGCAGTGTCTAGAATACTCAGTAAATGTTTGTCATGATGATGGTGGTAGTGGTGAAGATGATGGAGAAGATGGAGAAGATGTTGAAGAAGAACAAAAGGAAGAAGAAACGGAAATTCTGTGACCTATAAATTAGTTTTGGCAGTTATAAAAATATAAGTCCTAATAGAATAAATATTTGTTTACTAATTATGACCTTTATATAAATAAATAGGTAAGATGCAACTAGAGCATTTTATAAGAAATCACTGGGCTCACTGGCTGCCTCCTCCAATACTGCTGTTCTTATTCTTGGCAACTTCAATATCTTCCATATAGATTAGGGCTTTTGACTTTACTGTGCAATAGACCCCTTTGACGGTATGATGAATGGATCACTTCTGAGTATAATATTTTTAAATGCATAAAACAAAATACATAAGATTACAAAGGAACTAATTATATTAAAATAGAATGTATCAAAACATTAAAGATATCAATTATTAACACTTATTAACACATTTAACAAGTTCTAGTAGTAGATCTAATAATTATTAGAATTTTAAAGTAGTGATGAGCCTAAACTTTTCAACACATTCGCAACAACTACCATATAATATGAAAGTGTCAGTGATTTGTATTACTAACAAAGTCATAGGTTTTGCTACTACTACACTAATAATAATTGAAGAAAATGCTAAATTTAAGTTAGTTGTTAGTGAAAATAAAGATATACAGTTGCCCCTTGGACAATGTGGGAGTTAGGGGCACCAGCCCACTGTGCAGTTGGAAATCTGCATGTAATTATTTTTTTTTAAGATTTTATTTATTTATTTGAGAGAGAGAGATCACGAGCAGGGGGGAGGGGTAGAGGGAGAAGCAGACTCCCTGCTGAGCAGGGAGCCCGATGTGGGGCTCAATCCCAGGACCCTGGGACCATGACCTGCGCTAAAGGCAGATGTTTGACCAACTGAGCCACCCAGGCACCCTGCATATAACTTTTGACTCCCCAAAAACTTAATTACTAATAGCCTACTGTTGACTGAATGCCTTAACAGTAGCATAAGTCAATCAACACATATATGTTATATGTATTATATACTATAT